TCAACAAATACAATATATCATGGGGCAAATGCTGACTAACGTTTTTCATACTTATTGTTGGTCCATTATACACTGAATAAACGATTAATTTTCCCGTTATAACCCGATAATGACAAGGAGCACACGGCGGGTGTGACGGTAAGCAGGGAATGCTCATTCCTCCATGGCAACTGATTCCACCTCTGATGTTTTGGAGGTCGTGTTTCCTCTGTTTCTATTTATGTATTGTTTTATGGGCTTTGATATTGAATACTGTTCGTTATCTCCATATTCTTTATCACTAACTCTACATTTGTGTCAGGCTCAGACTTTCAGCATTTTTTTTTTGTTATTAGCTAATGCAAGTATTAAATTGAAAGAATGCAAATAATTGTGAGTTTTAATATTGACAGAAGAAATGCTGAATGAGTTTGAACGCTATCAGCTTTCCAATCAAAACGTGTATTAACGATTTAATAGAATCAAATAGATACGATAATTACGGTTTTACCTGTTCATTAATGATTATTTAAAACAGCGGAAATTGATTGAAACGAGAGATCGTCCAGACGTCATAATCTTTCAAACCAGTTGAAGTATTCACATTCACCATCGCACTTTTTAAAAGGCAGCAAATAATCACTTATATTTGTTTAAATCATTCTCGACATCTAACCTTTTCTTTACGAGAATTATTCGAGTCAATCATAAAGATTTCAGCATATCTTAAAAATGGCTGAATTTAAATTATTTTTACTCACCATTTTGAAATATAGATGTTGTATCTTATTAATTTTAAAACCACTATTTACACACTGAATTGTGTACGGATTATTCCGTTCTTCTCGACCATGACAATTAGGAGCAGAATATGGTCATTCCTTCATGGCACCTGATCCCATCTCTAATGATAATAGGTCCATATCTGCTCCGTTTTCTAATGTTTGAGTGGACTTATCAGCTTAACTAGTGTTCGTCCTCTCCATATTTCAGTAAGAGAAAAACATTTTCAGAGTTAAAGAATGAAAGTGAAACACATACATATAGTCTGAATTATCATGATTTTAATCTAATCACATGTCAGTCCGTCTTTTCAATCAGAGGCGTAACTACGAGAGCTGTTCCATAAATAATGTCCTGAACCGTATTACATACAATACAGATATATATCATATGACATTAAACTTGACTTTCCCTCATTATTGAATCTTTACTGAATTTACAACAGTTTATGTGACCACTTTTCATCACATAGTTTCATCGTGAGAAGCTGGAAAACAAGGGCTATTCGAGACACTGCATTATCAATGAATGGTAAAGAATCAGTAAACTAGAGTGAAAATACAAGCTACATTAAAGCTGCTGTAAAACTTGTTAAAAATCCCAAAGAAATATTCACTGAAATATGTGACATTTACAGTAAGCAATGCCTGTTTTATAATCAAATGAGCGGGTGGATTTCAATGATAAAAAATTATTTAATGGGCATCAGTAATGGGTACCGTCCTTGCCAACAAAAATTAAAACAACTTATGTACTGATTGCCAAAGGATGCGGTGACATGCGGCCCCCGATAAATTGACAAAAAATTAAATGTCTAAATCTTACTCTAATTTTTGGATGTAACTAATCACTAATATATGTAGCTATATGACGTACCACTTTTAACAAAAATAGAAGCGTAATTTGGAAGATATAGATCTTTCATTTGGGTAGGGGTACCATGTTTACATCCAATTCCCATTGATTTTTTGCCCCGCCCCACTCTTTGAAGCCCTTAAAATATACGAGCGAAGGTAGGTACAATTTTCTCCTTTGACTGGACACTGTATTTTATTAAAATCTACCTATATGTGAAAGGAGAAAATTGTACCTCACTGCGCTCACATGCTATTTTTAAAAAACGTGTAAAATCTAGCTGATCTTTCCCATTATGAACAGATTGACGGAACTAGATTTTCTGACGTAAGAATAAATTCATATGCTAATCGAGGCACTGGCGATACTTTCTAACTGACCAATCAGCTAAATGAAATTCGTTACGAGTGAGTACCACAAAAATACTATGGAAACATGCTCTGAATTTTACTGCTTTCCGATAATTTATTTATGCATTTGAGTCACAGATTAGACACGGATCTACATATGTACAATTTCCGAGATCACAGTAAAATTTATTTACAGTTACAAACAAATGATAAATCTACATTAGTTTAAAGTTTTGTAGCGTGTTTGGTGAGCAATTCGCTAGGTCTACACGTATTCCCGAGTATCAGTGAATACAAGTTTCATGTGCATTTCCTGTCCTAAAAACCGTATTATAAAAGTTTGAAATGTAGAAAAGGATAACAGGTAAATTGACCTAAACCACGTGTCTGTGATAAAATGTAAACATAGTAAACCAGCATGTTGACTTGTTTCTATTTCCAAACTTGAAAAAAAAACACCTTTGAGAAGGAAAAAACAAGTCCAGGAAATCATTGGATCTGTCATTTTCCAGTATACTAAGGGTCATACCCAAAAATGAGTTCTAAAAACAATCAAAAATTGGATTTAAAATGTTACGGACATGTGTTTGAATTAAAAGAGATTTTAAAATAAGTAAAATCATGAAGACTAAGTCATTGAAAAGCGTCATTTGCTTCTTTCTGAGCACCAAGGACATTATTTATTGAACAGCCCTCGTATGTGTTGAAAAAAGTCAGTCAACATTTGACACAATGATATATTGTATTTGCTGACAAGGTCATTGTACATTATATCGACCAAAGAACTTACGAAATGATGACTTTAAACGAGAGTGCTGATATTCTTGTTTCATCAACTTGTTTGTCAATAATTTACCTCGTCTTAGAAATTGTTCACTCGTATAGAATGCTCTTGCCTATCGAATCAACTGGGATACATAACCTCCGTTTGCAGGTGGTATATTGCTGCATTAATAAGGGAAAATGAAGATAGAAAGTTAAAGTCATCACGTTTATCATAGAGCTTAGTTGTTAGATTACCATTAACGTCTTTTTCAAGTAAAATCAAAATTAATATGAAACATATGTGTCAGACTCTGTGGTATCTTTTATTTCAAGCTCACCAGGATATAAACATAATAGGGATATTTGAATATTACTGCCTAAATAAGGGATGTTGACGATAAAAAGAGTCAAGATATCTCATGAATACCAATTTCAAAGTACCTTGGTGTTTAATCGAAAATGATTTAAAGGTACTTGTCAATCAAACCCGCCAAAAAATTTGAAATTTAAATATCTTTTATATAAAGTAAGAATTTTAATTAATTTTTGTGTGAAATGCTATTAAAATATATAAGTCATAATATTATAGAAAAAATAATAACTTCAAATCTGTGTCCAAGTGCCTTTAAGGGGTACCGACCCTCTGATATGACAGATAACTCTCAGAGACAGTCAGAGTACAAAATATGAATACTACTCACAGTTTTCTTAATCAGAGTTTCCTAATTTAGACCTCTGAGAAGTCAATTCGATGAAATCTAACCTGTGATGAAAACATTACTTTCTATTCTTTTGCCAATCTCTTACTAATTGTTTTATTATATTTAACAATAAAACATTTAAATCCTACTTCAAAAGCATTTTGAATTGAATAAGTTGTATTTTTAATAGACTATTTTAATAATGGTTTAATGTTTCAAGTACTTAATACAGAACTTTTATAAGTATGACATTTTTTTTTTTGATATGAAGAAATCTTTAGAAGAAAGATAACTCCTCCTCACATATATATTTTTTCTTACAAACACATACAACATTTTAATTTTCAGACTTAGGAAGCATCGCTTTATGATGTTTTCTGACATGATTTTAATATGTATTATACTAAGTATTATTTTCATATACACCTCATATTTCAAATTAAATGTTATGATAATAAATCGTTATTGTTTCTGTTCTCTATGTTGAAATTTCTTCATATCATGATCTGACAAAAAATATTTTCTGAAAAATAAGCTGCGCTTCTTACATCAAACTATTTTCCATGTGGCTCTAATGTTACTGTTGTTCATGAAAATCAACATTAGAAATATTAAATTTTCTGAGTGAAATTTGATAGCAGAGGGTCGGGACCCCTTAAACAAAGTACTTTGGTAAATGACCAATCGATATGATAATATCCAAATTGCTGTTTTATGAAAGTAGCTATTTTTCTTTAATGCAATTGAAGCTCAGATAAAGAATAGTTGTAGAAAAAGTCAATTTCTTTTTAACATATACGGCATAAATTTTTGGAAAATTTTGCGATTTCAAATTCTCTAAAATTCTTTTCAGATTTTAATTAAGGCACTACTCCGATTCTTGAATATGTTGTAGCAGAGTAATTTCGATTTCTCACAATTAGGGTTTTGTGTGGGAGTGAAGATAGACTTAGTTTTACCTGTCTGACATTAATACTTATTTATCATTTAATTTTAATGAAAAAAAAAATCAGCATTACACATTTACGATAAATTTTATTGTAAATCTCATAACTTGATCTAAAGTGTACAGATAATAAAGAGCAATCGATTTGAAAAATTTACAACAAAATAAATCTGTAAATAAGACAAAAAAACGGACCGCAGGAAATTCATGAGGCGTGGTCAGGTGCCTTAAAGGAGTAATTAAGCGTGAAATAATTTTTCAAATATTTTCTATGTATAACAATTTAAAATTTTGGAATTTTAAGTCACATTCTGGACACCACTGGAAACAATGTATATACCTTGTCACCATAGAAACCGACATTAGAAGATGAACAATTAACCATTTTATTGAAAAAGTCATATACATGTATATCAAAATTGCTAAGAATTTTAAAACATGGTAGTTAAACAAATATTTCCATTAAAGTTAGTACTACAACTACATTTTTAGCTAAGATTAAAGCTGCATAAAACAACATATAAGCAGGTATGTCCGGATTTTAAATTGCGCAAACAAGACAAAGGATCAGAAGAGGAAAACTCCAAGCATGTTATCTCAACGTTTCATTCAAAATATCCTTCACGTTAATGCTATCATCAGACTAAACCACTGAAAGAAAAGAAAGATGTAAAAATAGTGCATCATCACTCTGTCATATCCCTCCGCTAAAATCTTCCAAGTTACTTTCTTCTCCGCCTCAATATCTTGCTCATCCTCGTCAGGAGCAATATATTTCTTTTCAAAACTTACATCCAATTCGGCAGATTTGTCAGCGACTTTAGCCTTCTTTTTTCGTTTTCCACAGATGTCGTACAGGAATCGGAATCGAAGAACATTTAGCAGAAAAACACCTTTTCTTGAGACTTGGAATGTTGGGTCTTTAAAATGAAAACGCATCGTAACAACAGCCAAAACGCTTATTAGTGTGCTCATTGACATCGTAATGATTAAGAAGTAAGACATTAAAGACATTGGTTCTGAAGATTTGGGGATATTGTCACTGAGCAAAGTCATAAACACGGCAAAAGACAAGAAGATGGTTATAGCATAAGACACACGTTCTCCACTTTCAACTGGTAATACAAACACAAGAGGGTTCAGTAAGGATAATAAAAGGATAGGGGCTAACATGTTTATGATGAAATAAAGAGATTTCCTCTTCAAAATTAGTCGAATTTCAATTAAGTTATCAAAATCTCCAAGAGCAGCCCGCCTCATTAGTGCCTTTTGTAATGTCCATTGGGCATTCGGGGAGTAGTACGTCGTATCCGCGACTGTCAAACCGTTAGAAGGGATTAATCTCACTTCAGATGGAGCATATCCCCACGGTGATAAAGTGAATGAGCAAGTTTGTGTATCAAATGGAAATTTATACATATCAACGTTGCAAAGAGTCTGAATCAGACCAGCTGGAATCCATCTCGTAGTTCCGGTGTAAGAAATTCTCCCCAAGAAGTCTTCATCTCCAAGGGCTTCCATTTTATTTGCTGGGTCAATCAAAAATATATTAGGAATCCATATTTTTTCCTTCGGGACTGGGATTTCTTCGATGTCACCATAGCTGCTTGGTGTCCAAGTCAATCGAAAATCCCGCCAAAACATACCAAAGCCACAAACAATGGACAACACACCAGAAATCTCATTAAAATCGTTTATTGAAAAAATCATGGGCATAAGAGAGACCTCTAAAGCTTCTGAAAAGTTCGCTTTTGGTCGGATTTCTTTAGAGTAGTTTTTGAAAACCTCCTGAAGAAGTAATTCAGCGTCAGTATAAAGACCATGAACACTTGTTAGTGATATTCCTGAAATTAATAGTAAACACAAACCCAGATTAAAAACTTTCATGTTCCTCTCAAGCTGTCTATCTTGAAAAAAAAGCCCAGCTATCTGCACACAAATGGTCGATCGTCGAATAATAGATATGAAGGGTAATTGTTGTATTTCCGTTCACTTTTAATGTTCAATTCATTTTTGATGTTGGTTATTTTGAAATAATATTTCTAAACAGTCATCGATAAAATTCCGTTGTCTCACTGTTTTTAAAAAATTGAGAGAAAAAATTACCCCATTAACAAATATTAATCAGCAATATTTGTTTTCATGTTTCAAAAGATAAATGAAATAAGGTCCGACTTGCTGTAAATATTAGCACAGTACATGTACTAAAGAAGTCCTCGATTAATTTCTTCACCAAATACCTTTTTTAATTAATTTAAATTAAGTTGATTTTTTTTATATTTTCTATGATGGTCGTGTATAGCCTATGTTATAAGCTGAGGAATCTGCAATAAGATAAAACAGGACATCTAACCAGTACTTTTATAGTTCAGCTTCGATTTTCTGCATGCAAATTGTCTGTCCATTTAGTATTCTATATGAGCCGATCAATGGTTATAATGTGAATTCTGAGATTTGAAAGATTACTCTTACATTCATAATTATAATGGATACATTTAAAAGGGTCCAAACATCCAACAATAAAAATTATGGCATCAGTAAAAAAATGAAAGAATACCCAATTAAATAGTACGAAAGCCGGATAGGCTCATTTCTGAAAAGATAAAAAAAATATTTAACTCGTTATAACGAGTTAATTATCTCGTTATAACGAATTAGTTATCTCGTTATAATGAGTTAGTATCTCGTTATAACGAGTTAATTATCTCGTTATAACAAGTTAGTATTTCGTTATAACGAGTTAGTATCGACTTAGTTATCTCGTTATAACGAGTTAGTTATCTCGTTATAACGACTTAGTTATCTCGTTATAACGAGTTAATTATCTCGTTATAACGAATTAATTTTCTCGTTATAACGAATTAATTTTTCTCGTTATAACGAGTTAATTTTTCTCGTTATAACGAGTTAATTTTCTCGTTATAACGAGTTAAAAACTGGTCTATTGACATTAAAACTACAGCCAATTTTAATTCCTATATTGCTATTAAATTTGGAAATAAAGGGGCAACTTAATATTTCGTTATAACGAGAAAACTAGCTCGTTATAACGAGATACTAACTCGTTATAACGAAACAAGTAATTCGTTATAACGAGATAAAACTAAGTCGTTATAACGAGATAATCAACTCGTTATAACGAGATGATTAACTCGTTATAACGAGATACTAACTCGTTATAACGAGATAACTTATTCGTTATAACGAGATAATTAACTCGTTATAACGAGTTAAATATTTTTTTTTATCTTTTCAGAAATGAGCCTATCCGGCTTTCGTAAAATAGCAAAATCTTGAGTGTTTAACATAAATTTCCTGATGCAAACATTAATGAAATATATTTTCACGGAAAAAAGATTTTGGAAGATTTAATTTCATATAAAATTTTATCAGTTTACTTTCCATTAAAGATTGGCCGCCCGCGTGGCAGAGTGGTTAGAGCGTCTGTTCTAGAGTCGCGAGGCAAGGAGTCAATCTTTACGTCGCGGGTTCGAATCCCACTGTGGGACTGGAGATCGGTCCTTTGGATAAGACCGTATAAACAGAGGTCCTGTGTAAGTGCTGGCACGAAAAAGATTCCTTCCTGCTCAATGGCCCTGAGTGCGGAGTTTTGGACAAAATTTGCAGCTCTCCACCTGCAAGTGGTGGCGTCTCCATACGAGTGAAAAATTCTCGAGAGCGATGTTAAACAATATTATCGATCAATCAATCCATTAAATATTGCATCTATGACCTTTGCAGACGATAAAAGATGTAGACCTGTGCTTGATATAATGATCACACATTGATTTGTCTGCCAAAAGTCTAATAGGAAAGGAATATAAAAAAAAATCATACAATCTATGTATTAAACCACATTCCGAAACCTTAATATACGATCGACAAGGAATAGAAAAAAAACCCCAACTTTTTTTTGTAAAAAGCATAAAAAAAACTAGTTACTAATATTAGCAATCATCAAATTATTTTGCTTGCTCCTTGTTAAGAGGAGAAAGATATTGTCAAAGACCCATTTCTGGATCAAGTTAGCCCTACCTGTAGTTATTTTTCCAGTCATTACAAATGCACGGTAGCTCATTCTATAGAGGGCTCTCTCCGTGATCGGAAGGTCTTATGTTCGAGTCATGGTTGCAACTGATCTTAGTCAGCCTAAATAGGTAGCAGCTATTCATTCGCAAAGCGCTCAGCACTTTCAAGTGAATGTTGCGGGTCCTTCGGACGAGGCCTTAAAAACCGTCACGTCGTTACATGTCACGGTAGACGTCGGCACGATTATCAACACAATAACTGTTTTTCAAAATAGGCAAAGTGAATCCAAAATTTATCTGCGTGTAGATTCATATTACATTTGTTGGTTGGTTGTATGTATTTTACGTCCCGTTCAAGAATTTTTTTCATTAAACGGATATGTCACTATATGAACATGTGAAGGGCTTCACTCGACAGTTAGGGCCATTACGCAGCGAGGGTTCTTTATCTGCCGACGTCTACCATGACATGTAATGACGTGACGGTTTTTAAGGCCTCGTCCGAAGTTATTTTTATTGAATAACGATGATCCATAAAACGACAAAGTACTTTCCATGAATTCAATTCCCCTCTAATGAATGTTATAAGGGAGTGAAATCTTATGAAATGATGATAAAGATGGAGGGAAATAAAATTGGACCTTTTACCTTTTAGCCTCAAAATCAAAAGAGGTCAACAAATTCAGTTTCATCGAAAAAGTTTGCAAGGAACTATCTTGATTAGGAAACTATTGTGTGCTGTTGTGAGGTGTGTTGTATTTGTATTGTTTCATCATGTATATTATTAGTAACATTAAGTTTCTTGAACATTCCAGAGTGGTCAACATGTTCGGTCATTTTTTCTAGAACATTCTTGAACTTTGTGTATGTCCAGAACTTTCCAGTAATATCATGTACTTACAAATTCTAGAATTTTCTAGATTTATAGTACTGTATAAATACCCTGTCAATTCGATGCAAAATATATAATTTGTCGTATAAGTAACATTGATGTACAGGTGTATAAAGAGACTGGGATATAATTACACTGGACATTGTGTGCAGCAACGGACACTCTGATGTATGTATTTTTAGATTCTTGCTAAGTTGTACTTTATGATTTGTATATATTAATGTTAATAAATTATTGTTAAGTTTAAATTGTGTGATTGATCTTTGCTGGCATTTAGGGTTATTCTGACCCATAACAGAATTGGGGGCTCGTCCGGGATAAAGAATTTTTTTTTTGTACTTTTGCAGTTTATTGTCAGATTTTAGTTAATTGAAACTTTAAATTAAATTATAAGCCAGCAGAAATCAACATGGTATTTTCGGTCATAGACTTTCTTAATTCACCAAGTGTTCAAGTTTTTGATACGTTAAAAAAGGATGACTTGATCGCATTAGGTGTGCATCTTGGGTTAGAAGTTAAGTCTTCTCAGAAAAAGCAAGACATTAGAATAAAGGTTGCAAACAAACTGGTAGAACAAAACATCTTTGAAAAATATGATCTTCCAGAATATACAGTTAAATCAGAGTTAGGCTCTTATAAAATGGCAGAATATCAGTCTCAAGTAGAGTTAGAGAAAATGCGATTTGAAAGAGAAAAATTAGAAAGAGAAGATCGAGAAAGAGAAAGAGAAGAGCGAGAAAGAGAAAGAGAAGAACGAGAGCGTGAACGAAAATTTGAATTAGACAAATTAGCAGCAGAAAGAGAAGAGCGAGAAAAAGAGCGTGAAATGAACTTTGAATTAGAGAAATTAAAATTACAGCACCAACCAGAACCGTCAATTGTCAAAACTGAATTTGACGCAGCAAAAAATATCAGATTAGTTCCAAAATTTCGAAAAATCTGTAGACAAATATTTTCCCCAATTCGAAAAGGTCGCAGAGAATCTTAAATGGCCACGAAATGTTTGGTAAACGATGTTACAAAGTGTACTGGTTGGCAAAGTAGCTGAGGTATACTCTGCACTAGGGGTAGCTGAAAGTTCAGACTATGAGAAGGTCAAAGCAGCAATATTAAAAGCATATGAATTAGTACCTGAAGCATATAGACAAAAATTCAGAAAGTATAGGAAGTTTGATAATCAAACATTTGTTGAATTTTCACGAGAGAAAGAAGATTTATTCGATCACTGGTTTAGATCTAAGAAACTTGATAAAAATTTTGCTAATTTGCGCCAAGTCATCCTGGTAGAAGAGTTTAAGGAATGTGTTCCTCAAGATTTGAAAACACATCTAGAAGATAAGAATATGAAAACTCTTGAAGAGGCAGCAGTCATATCTGATACTTATGCTCTGTCTCATAAAAAGAATTTTGTTTCAAGATCTCAGTCTAGCAATAATTCTACAAATTCAGACACATATAAAAAGAGTGGTTCAGGGTCTCAGTCTTCCATAATTTCCCAGTCTCCATCCCAAGGTGGTTTTAAGTCCGGTTCAGGACGTTTTGAAGGATCATCTGGAATAGGGTTGCTTCCTACGTGTAGTTATTGTAAGAAAAAAGGTCAT